CCTGGAGAAAAAGAAGAGGTATTCAGCTTCTGAGTCAACTTAGCATTTAATGAATACTTCAACAAGTTTTTTTTTTTTTCCTTAACCCTCCTAATGACCCTGTTAAGTCAGTGCTATTATCCCCATTTTATAGATGAGAGATGTTCATAACAGGGTTATCTACAATAGCTAAGATCCGGAAATAGCCCAAGCACCATCAGTCGATAGTGGATAAAAAAGCTGTGGTACATCTACACAATGAAATATTACGTGGCTTTGAAAAAGAAGGATCTCTTACTCTTTGCAACAGCATGGAGGGACCTGGAGACCATTATGTTAAGTGGAATAAGCCAGTCAGAGAACAACAAGTATCACAGGATCTCACTCATATGTGGAATCTAATGAACAGAATAAACTGACAAACAAAACAGATTTAGAGGCGTGGAACAGACTGAGAAATCTCAGAGGGGAGGGGAGTGGGGGACAGGAAGAGATTAATCAAAGAATTTATATGCATATATGCATACCCCAAGGACAGAGACAATAGTGAGGTGAAGACCTGGGGTGGGGTAAGGGCTGGGTGAAGGGGTAAATGGGGTGAAAATAGGGGACATCTGCAATAATGTCAACACCAAAAAATAAACTTAAGGAAATAGAAATACACAGGCTCATAATCTCTCAGGATCCAGAGACCCAAAGTGAAGAGATAGATATGTAATACATTTATCAGTGCTTGGGAACAGACGGTACATAAATAACCTCATTAGAACTCTGAAATCCTTAGAGAGCAGTTAAAGGAAGGCTTAAAAGCTGGACAGCAGGTCTTACAATAGTCAGTTAATCTTAATCCTTATTTGTGGATACCCCCTCATTACAAATTTTCTTTCTTTTTTTAAAATATGTTTATTGATTTCATAGAGGAAGGGAGAGAGAGAGAGAAACATCAGCGATGAGAGAGAATCATTGATCGGCTGCCTCCTGCATGCCCCACATTGGGGATCAAGCCCACAACCCAGGAATGTGCCCTGAACAGGAATCAAACTGTGACTTCCTGGTTCATAGGTCAATGATTAACCACTGAGCCACACTGGCCAGGCTCCTTGAAGATTTTCTGGTAGCTTTATGAAAATGTGTAGCTATTTGAAGTTAGAAGTAGAAGGGAGTTCCAACCTATGAGAAAGGAAAGGAAACCGTAATATTGAAATTACAAACTGAAAATGACTGAATTTCTAAAAACTTATCCGAAAAAGACTGAAAAAAAGTGTCTAGAGTAGATTTGTGTGTGTGTGTGTGTGTGTGTGTGTGTGTGTTTTCTGAAAAGAGAAAATATATTGAGGATTGCATAGTTTATGTCTTTTGACAATTTTGTATTTTCCATTCTGATTTATTTTTTTATATCTCATCTCTCTTGACCTTTTACATTTAATCATGAACTACAATACAATATAAAATACTACATTTATTACAAGCATTTTGGTCTTTTTCCAAATTAAAAAATTATTTTGCAATTACAGTTGACATTTAATATTATATTAGTTTCAAATATACAACACAATGGTTAGACATTTATATAACTTAGTAGGGGCCCGGTGCACTAAACACGTGCGCTTGGTGGGGGGTCCCTCAGCCCAGCCTGTGCCCTCTTGCAGTCTGGGAGCCCTCATGGGGAGTGGGCCTAAGCCATCAGTCTAACATCCTTAGTGCAGCTGCAGAGGTGGAAGAGGCTCCTGCCACTGCCGCTGCACTTGCCAGCCATGAGCCCAACTCAGGGCTTCTGGCTGAGCATTGCTCCTGCTGTGGGAGTGCACTGATCACCAGGGAGTGGCTTCTGTGTTGAGTGTCTGCCTCCTGGTGGTGCACATCATAGCTACCGATTGTTCTGCCGTTTGGTCAATTTTCATATTAGCCTTTTATTATATAGGATGAGGTGATCCCCTCAATAAGTCTAGTATCCACCAAACATCATGCATAGATATTAGAATATTATTTATTTAAAAAATTAGAATATTATTGACTATATTCCCCATGCTGTACTCTACTTCCTGTGACAATTTATACATCTTAATCCCTTCACTTTTTCACCCAGCCCTCAACCTCCCTCCCATCTGGCAATCAAGGTTTGTTCTCTGTATCTATGATTTGTTTCTGTTTGTCTTGTTCATTCATTTCTTATTTTAGATTCCACATATAAGTGAAATCATATGGAATTTTTCTTTCTCTGACTTACTTCATTTAGAAAGTCAACCTTCCAAGTCCATTTATGTTTTCACAAATGGTAAGATTTCATTCTTTTTTTATGGCCAAGTAATAGTCTGTGATATATGTATCACTTATTCTTTATCTATTTACCTATCGAAGTAGAGTTAGGTAGCTACCATATTTGAACTATTATAAATCATGCTGCAATGAGCTAAATGGTGCACATATTCTTTCAAATTGGTGTTTTGGAGTTCTTTGAATAAATACCCAGAAGTGGCTGCATCAATCTGCAGTCCCACCAACAGAGTTCCCTTTTCTTTACATCTTCTCCAGCATTTGTTGTTTGTTGATTTATTGATAATATCTGGTTTTTGCTGTACAAAAAGGCAAGTGATTTATTAATATTAATTTTGCATCCTGCTACTTTACCGAACTACAGAACTAATTTATCATTTCTAATTTTTTTTTTTGTGTGGAATCTTTAGGAATCTCTATTTATATTATCATGTCATCTGAAAATAATGGCAGTTTTACTTCTTCCTTTCCAACTTGAATGCCTTTTTTTTTTTTTCCTATTTGATGTGGCTAGAATTTTCAATACTATTGTTAACTTAATACACATTCAAACCTGTAAAGAATTTTTGTGAGTTTATTTGAGCCAAACTGTTGACAATTGCCAGGAAGTAGAATCTCAATGCATTGAGACAATGCTCCAGAGAATGGTAGTCTTGCACCTATTTTTATAAATGGCCATCAAAGGAGGAGACATACATAGGGAACATGAAATCCATTGGTGATAGATTAGGGAGGCAGGAGAAAGCAAAGCAGGGATACAGCTGGGATTGGATAAAAAGTAAAATGATAGACATATGCTTCTTTTACATAGGTGGGCATAGGGTAGTTTACAGTCAACAATTAACAGGATAGCAATAACAGTAAGGGAATTTGTCATCTCTGCCCTGACACCTGGTGCATTGGTTGTGCCCTGAGGAAAGTTACAAGTTACCCTTACATTCCAAAGGTATGCTATCATAGATGCAAAAAAGACAACAGTCTCAGTTAAAATCAAAGTGGATCTTTGTCGGGGAAGATGCCAGCCTTAGGAGATGACTACCCACCACAGGCTGCTTTTTAATTAAAAAGTTTTAATTTCAGACCATCCTTTGTGGTCACTTTAGGTCTCAGTTTGCAAGACCACCATGCAGGCCCTTCCTGAGCTAGTCAGGCTGGCATGTGACTCCTTTTCATACACACTATGCTGAAAAAAAAAAAAAAAAGAATATTCTTGTCTTGTTCCTGATCTTATGGAAAACAGTTTTTAGCTTTTCCCCATTGAGTATAACCTTAACTATGGACTCTATTATGCTGAGGTGTGTTCCCTCTATTTACACTTTGCTGAGAGTTTTTTTTTTTTTAATCATAAATCGACATTGGGCTTTATCTGTATCTATTGATATGATCATATAGTTTTTATCTTTCATTTTGTTCATGTGGTTTATCACATTAATTGATTTGTGGATATTGATCAAATCTTGCATTCCAGGAATAAAACCTACTTGATCATGATGTATGATCTTCTTAATGCATTGCTGAATTAGGTTGGCTAATATTTTGTTGAAAATTTTTGTATCTGTATTCATCAGGAATATTGATCTGTAATTTTTCTCTAAGGTCTTTGGTTGTGGTATCAAGTAATGCTGACCTTGTTCAATTCTGGGAGTAGTTTGAAAAGGATAGGTGTTAATTCTTCTTTGAATGTTTGGTAAGATTCATCTGTGAAGCTCTCAGATCCAGGACTTACACTTATTAGGAGCTTTTTAAAATTATTATTACTGATTTGGTTACATTAGTAATCCCCTTGGAGCAAGGCTTGTCTCAGCAGGGCTCTCCGGTGCCTAATGAGTTTACTCCTTTAACGTGTCACTCGTGAATGTGGTTGGGTGGTACTTCCTTGTGAAACTATCCATCTAGCAGGTATGCTGGCTCTGGGGCCTCCTAGGAGGTGCGGGCCAAGATTGCCACTGCCTTTGCTCTGCCCATTTACACAGAAACACAGTGATCTGCTAATAGTTGGCACTTGTGCTGGGCTTGGAGATGTTTGGGAGAGGCCATCTTGTGCACCGAGGCCCTGCCTGGGGCCTCTTAGCTAGTGGCAGGGGGCACCTTGAAGCTAGATGCTGTTTATTTGGGGTGTGTTAATTTTTGAAAGATTTTGGAAAAGTCCACAGCATGAGCAGAGACCGGCCACTAGTATGAAAAAGCCACTGGGAACCGCTTTGGAGGGCCCACCAGATGCACGGGGCGGGGCTCTCAGGGAATCACCTCTGTGGAGACTCAGATATGGTGCCTGCGTGCTGGCTCTGTGGGGGCGGGCTCAGGCAAGAAACCATGGCCCCTGTCAGCATTTTTGTCTGAGAGAAATATGCTCCCTCAACCCTTCCCTCAAAGACAGACAATTCAGTTCCTCTCTGCATGTTCCTGGTACCTTAGGGTTGTCACCCAGTGTCGGAACTTAAAGCGTGGAGTCTGAGTAAACCTGCACAGGCCCTTTCGGAGGCATGCCTGGGATTCCAGCAGCCTCCATCTCACTCAGCCTCAGCCCTCGCTGCTTTCCACAGCCAGAAGGTATGGGGGCTTCTCTTCCCAGCACTAGATCGCTGGGCTGGGGAGCCCGGTGTGGGCCTGGGGCCGCTCACTTTTCAGGGGGGCCATCACAGCTGAGATATTCCTCCTGATTTTTAATTGCCACACAGGGGTGTAGGACCTGCCTTTTCCATGTTTCTGAAACTGGATAATTAATGGGTCTAGACTTCCTGTAAGCAGAGACAGGGTCGAATCATATATGAACGTCTATTCCAATACTGCTGGCAGTATGGGAGAGCAGCAGGTCATCCTGCTGCCCCACTATAAGCCAGCTGCTTGTATCGGGTAGAAGGACAAAGATTCCATAGGGAAGCAGGCAAAAGGGATAAGAACGGGTGTGTAAAATGGGCAGTTTACAGGCAATGTGGGCTGGGGGTTTGCAAAGGCCTATGGGTATGCAGAGGGCTGGCCCCTCTGGTTTCTGCAACAAGGTTGGTCATCTTTCCATGCTGATAGGCAGCTCCCAGATGTGGAGGGTGGGCCACATTTCCAGGGGAGCTCCCAGGTCCCACGTGCAGCTCCCAGCCAGGTTAGAATGTGCTTTCTTTAAACAGAACAAAACAATCTCCAGTATTCTATTTCTGCCCCCATCATTTCCACGTCTATCAGTCTCCATGTGGCTTCTGTATATCCTTAGTTATAGGACTCCTAGTCAACTAGACTTCAGGTGGTTCTGAATGGCGGCTGTTCTGTTGTGGAGCTGTTATATGGATGTGTTTTTGGGAGGACATGTGTACTGCATTTACCTACTCCACCCCCTTGATGGAAAGCCTCCTGGTTTTATTTATTTTATCTCTCTGATTCATCACAGTTGCTGAAGGTTTTATTTTTAAACTAGAGGCCTGATGCATAAAATTCATACAAGGGGCTTGGCTTTTGCAGCCCCAGCTTTGTCTGGAAGGTCATTTGGCTATCTGGTCTAATTAGCATATTATGCTTTTATTATTATAGATTACTTTTTCTAAAGTTCCAAAATTTAAAAATAATTTCTGTCATTTTATATTTACTTTTCTGTTTTAAATAATTTCTATTATTATTTGTTTCTACTTTTGGGGGGAGTATTTTGTTATTATATTTCAAGCTCTTTTTGTTTATTTATTTCTCCTCTTATTTTATAGTAAATACATAATGTTAGGTTTCTTTCTCAGAACTGCTTCAGATGGTCCTCAATTTTTTTTTGTAGTGCTTTTGTTAAGGTTTGGCATATATATATATATATATATATATATATATATATATATATATAATTTATTTGATTTTTTTTTTTTTTTTTTTACAGAGAGGAAGGGAGAGGGACAGAGAGTTAGAACATCGATGGAAGGAAACATCGACTAGCTGCCTCCTGCACATCCCCCATTGGGATGTGCCCGCAACCAAGGTACATACATGCCCTTGACCGGAATCGAACCCGGGACCCTCTAGTCCACAGGCTGATGCTCTATCCACTGAGCCAAACCATTAAGGCTGGCATATATTTTTAAAATTTTATTTTTATTTCTTTTTAAACTAATAGTTTCTTTAGATGTTTATGTTGAGGGAATAAATTTGATACAAAAGTCAAGAGCTCAGGTCCTAGAATCAGCATGCCTGGGTTATGTCCGACTTTGCCACTTAATATCTGACTTGGGCATTTTGCTTAATGTTTCTGTGGCTCAATTTCTTTATTTGTAAAAAGTGGAGAATAATATTACTTCCCTCAAACAATTGCTGTAAAGAATGAGTAAATAAATACTGAATGTGCTTAGGATAATGGCTGGCATATTACAGTAAGTACTATGTAAGTGTTTATGAAGTCAATTTTCCTTCATCACTGAAGGCACTGCTTCATTGTTTTCTAACTTCTTGTGTGGTTGCAAAAACATCCAATTTCTTTTAAATTTTTAGTCTTTTTAATATAATGTTCTTTCATATTTCTCATTTTGGGAACTTCTAGAATTTTTTTTTTATCCTTAGAGTTTGAGTATTACAAGATGATAGTCTTCAATGTGTAAATACTTCCCTGCCCCAGTGTGCTAGTCACTCAGCCTGGAAATTCATGATCTTCCATATATTGAAATATAATTTTTGTTGATGTTTTCTCTCTTTTATTTTCTCTATTCATTTTGGAACTCACATTTGTTGGATATTAAACTTCTTCTAGCAATCCTGACATTTTCTATTTTCTCTGTTTTATTATCTAACTTTTTTCTTCTTTACTACATTTTCTGGAAGATTACCTCAACATTCTCTTCCAATGTTTGAATTTATTAATTAAATAAATTATCTTTTTAAAAATATTTATTGTTAATGAAGCCTGGTTTTATTTTATTGATGCACTCTATTCCTTCATCCCTTAAAGGATCATATATATACACACATATATGCAGCATTTCTTTAATATTCTTTCTAATTTCTGAACACCTTGTTGCAGGATTGTAAGAGTCAAAGGAGGAAAATGAGACTGGGAAGAAAGGCTCTCTGCTTGGTATATAAAATATTTCTTAATTATTTCATTTTCTACTTGCATTTCCCTTCAGTTCTGCAAATATCTCTGGAAAATATAAATCTCCAGTGTTTCACTTGAATGTGAGAAAGGCATTGACCTTACTGTGAATAGTAAGAATGAAACCTCACTCCATATATTCTGGAAAAAACATATTTAGAGAATTAAGAAAATTGGAATAAAACCATCGTCAAGAACTGTGACTTACCTTACTTGCAGGCTTACCATTTTGCTTTCCACTTTTTCAAAAACCCAGGCAGAAGGCATGAAACTCCTGGGTCTGAGACAAGAGGCACTATTACTCGCAGCAATAGTATTGTCATGTGCACCAGTTCTTACAGAAGAACACAAAGGGAGCTTGGAAATACCTTAATAGGCAGTGGATTGCATTAGAAATGAGGGACTCTGACTTTGGGGGACTGAGTCTGCTGTGATGTTCATTAAGTGCGCCGATTCTTTGCTTCAGAGGAAGACACTCTCTCTGTCTTGTAAGGCTGGTAGCTATACAAATATTCTTGATATGACCACCCGGAGCAATAGCAATCAGCGCCTCTGCTCACAAGACATGCAGAACGCAAGAGACCCAAGAAGAATTGTCACAGTTCGAATGTAACAGCAGAATCTCCTGGGGAAGGATGCTGTGCTGTGTGCTGCAGTGGGTGGGGGTACATGTTGGCTTCAATAATGAAGTATAAATGCATTGAGCATCGCATATGGAGAAAACAGCGTGGCTTTTATATGGGGAATGTATTCTTTAAAAGGCTAGCTGAACCATTTGCTGTATAAATTAAAAAAATAATTTAAATTTTGGTTTTAAAAGCTTGGAAAGGCTCTAAAATGCGAACCATTAAAATAATTAAAAACCTTTATCTACTATGGGTAGATTAGCGTTTGGTAATAAAGGATATATGGTTATTTATCTTAATGAGAATGTGTACACTCCTCAAAGTTGTAAAGATATGAAGTTAATGAAAATAAATGGAAAGAATTTCTTTGCAGCTCACAAGAAGAGGAAGGAAAGATTCAGTAAAAAATGAAAAATGATACATTGAATAAAAGGTTGTAGAGTATAATAAAGCACCAATGGCTTTCTTAGGGAGGGGAGACCCAGAGTGGGAGCAGTCATGAGTTTCTCTTTAATAGTTAAGAAGGCCTTTTGGATTCTGGCCAGTGTGGCTCAGTGGCTGAGAGTCATCCTGTGTACCAAAATGAAATAATTAAGAAATATTTTATATACCAAGCAGAGAGCCTGGTCAGGACACATACCCAGGCTGTGGGTTCATGTGGGAGGCTACTGATCACTGTTTCTCTCCTTCTCCCTTCTCTGTGTGTAAAATCAATAAAACCATTAAGGAGAAGGAGGAGGAAAGAAGAAGGAGGAGGAGGGAAGATGAGGGGGAGGGGGAGGAGGGGAAGGAAGAGGAATAGGAGTGGGAGGAGGAGGGAGTGGGTCTCCTTTCCAGGTGGGCAGGAGGGGGAACAGCTTCTGGCTGCCCATAGGAGGCAACCAAGGAAGCTGGTGAAGGGACCCCACCACACAGGTCCCCCTCTCCTAGGAGGGGCACTGAGGAGGAGGAGGAGGAGGAGGAGGAGGAAGAGGAGGAGGAGGAGGCCTTTTAGAAATTCTTTTCCAGTCTAAGGACTCTAGGTCTGTTCACTTTAAAGCTGCATAAAGCGGTTTTTCAATCAGTTCAAAGTTGAGGATCCATATCCTGCAAAATCTTAATTGATGACAGGTGTCTGATACGGCTGCCTGAAAGGCAGGGTCCCTCCTGTTGGGAGTAGACTTCTCTGTCCTTGGGTGATCTCTAATCCCAAGCACTTTACATGGGGCTGGAGTATGTGAGCCTTTTTCTGGGAGACTCGATATCCCAGATCAGCTAGACAGTTCAGAGTTATCATGGTGTTCTTGTCACATGCCCTCTCATTTAGGCTGGCAATACACATATTATCAACATAGAGAGCTCCTTTCACCAGTTAAAGTCTCTCAAGCCTCCAGCTGAAATTTTTTCAATAGGGTGGGGGAGTTTCTAAATTCCTGCGAAGCACTCTCCAGCAAAAGGGCTTTTGTTTTGCTTTGTATTGGAGGTTGGGTCTTCCAATCCAAAGGCAAAGACATTACATGATACAGGGCTTATGTGTATACAGAAGGAAGCATCTTTCAAAACCAATACTGTAAACCAACAAAGCACCCCAGATAAGGTGGTCAGTCATCTGTAGGGTTTGGGGATCACCATCACCAGATTATATGTCCTCTACTATTTGGCTGAAAGCTTGTAAGTCTGAACAAATCGATACTCACTAGTGCCTGGCTTCTGTACAGGAGAATGCCATTATCAAGGGCTAAGTTCCTTTCTTTGCTTCTCCTTTTAGCTACTGTTTCACGTGAAAAATAATGGCCTTTTCCTGTGGATGGATCTGCACTGCAACAGCTGTCTTGACTTGTCCTGGCCTGCCTTAGGCGCAAACCTTCCAAGTTAACTACTCTCAAGGTAACATCTGGGGTTTTCTTAGGGATGGTTTTGCTCCCAGAGCTTAATAAGGCCACCTGTAAAGCACAGGCATTTTCTAGAAAGAATTTTAACGTCTATTCAGTCAAGGGCAAAAATTATCTTTGCATTTAATCCAATCAGTAAATCTTATCCTAGGCGTGGAATAGGGCACATAGGCACCTAAAGGAAGCTCTGTCTTAGGTAGCTTTTTCTCCCATTTTTGAAGTCCAAAGTTTGGAGGAACAGCTTTTGCCCGGGCTTCCCTAAGGCCCCCCAGTATTAGCATCCTTTCCTGTGATAGTTTTGTTAATCTGGTATTTAATACAGAGTAATAAAAGTAATAAGTGGCTCCGGTGCTGATTAAGAAGTCAATAAATTGCTTTTCCGCTTCTAGGGTGGCCTGGGGGTCCATGTGGTTGATGTTAAAAGAGCTGTTGCTTTCTACCAGACCCCCTGGACCTCATCGTTCCTGGACCCTGTGCCATCTGGTGTGTTTGCAGCAAATTTCAGTTGGCTTTCGAGTGTCCGGGTCCCTGGCTCAGAGTCGGGCAATCCTTCTCCCAGTGTCCTTCCTGTTTCAATGGGCACACCGATTTAGACCTAGTTTGGGGCGTCCTCTAGAGTTGCACACTTTAGGTTGAGGGGAAGGTCTGACCTTGTCATCTTCTCATGTCTTCCTGGTTTCAGAGCTGTAGCCAGCAGTTAGGCATGTCACCTTATTTCTTGTCTTTTTTCCCTCTTTGAAACCTGGTTTTGGCTCTTGAAGACCCTGAAAGAAATCTGACAATTGTGAAGTTGGCATCCCATAAGCACCCTCAAATTTTTGAAGTTACCTGTGGATATCTGATGCAATCTGAGTGAAAAAGCTCATATTAATGACCATGAAGTTTCAGGAGCAGTGGAATCTAGGTCAGTGCACTAACGGTAGGCCCCACAAATCCACTCCGAGAATTCTGAAGGGTTTTCCTCAGCTCAGTGGTTGAGCCCTTGAACTTTACTGGAAGTTATTGTTTGTTTAGGTACTCCCTTCGTAGGCCAGAACACAACCCTATCATGTTCAAGTTTTGGTAAGTACCGTCATTAGCATTCCATCAGGGTTAGTTGTAGGAATGGCTACCGAGGCTTCAGCCCTCACCTAATATTGAGGGTTTTTCTTGTGTAGATGACTCACCTCCTTTCTAGCTTTTTCTAAAATAGTTTGTCTTCAGCAGTCAGGAGAGCAGCATATGCTGAATGTCTACCAAGGCTGGTCTCTGAGAAGTAAAGACAGAAGCAAAGAGACTTTCCATTCTGAAAGGGTCCTCTCTGTATGCAGCACAGTATTTCTGCAGCCAATGAGGTGTGAGGAGAAGAAAGAAATGTATACCCAAAGCATTCTTGATTGGTGGCCATTTGCATTCTGCTCTTATTGGCATCTGTCTTGAAGGGTGTTGCCATGCCTGGGTTGGGAAAGTTTCTTGACCAAATTGGGTTGTCCTTTTGGTATGGAAAGGGGAAGCCATTCCTATATTTATAGTTTTGGAATACCCTACAGAAAGGAAGGGGGTGTTGCCTGCACTGCAACTTTATTATTCCCAATAGGGGTGGGGGTAGGTGAGGTGGCAAAAACTGATGCTGAAATCAGTTGCTCCATAATAATCATAGTCCTCTGCCTCTAAGGGGTTTCCAACAAAATAGGCTCAGTCGATTTCCCTGTCTTTTGTACCAAATTTTTACATTTTCTCTGAAGAGGTCTGTTCTGGTACATTAACATGAATGCCTGGACATATGGGATCTCTAGCTGTGTTTATCCTCTGGCCAGTGTTCCTCCGAGTCTAAGGAATACTGTGGTCATGCCAGTCTGCATACAAAAATCATTCTTTTCCTTTTCGTGGCCCCATACCTAAATGTTTCCCAGTTCTGTAATGTACAGCCCTGGGGGCTACAGTGAGTTACAGAGGTGGAGTTACCCATATCATTAAGGCCTATAAAAACATTTACTTATTTTAGCTCGAACGATATTGGATAAATTCTAGGATTAGATAGTTGTTAGTGAGTAGAGAGCTGTAAGTTCTACGAGTTGAACAGCAACAAGTCAGACACAACAGACAAGAGAACAGGAAAGCTTGTGGGGCCTAAACTTCTGCTCTGCCTCATGCCCTGAACATTATTTACTCAGAGGGAACAAACACGAGGCCCACTCAGTTTGGTGGCTCTGAGACAAACAGCTGTCTCGAATTAGGCTGGGACAAGTTTCTGCTGCCAACTCCTCCCAGGTTTGCTGAAATACATCAGATTGGCCCCCTTCCCAGAACGTGAGGCTCAGACAAATATCAAATAAGCAAATTAATAAACAAGACCTCTTGGTTCCACCACGTTTCCTCGATTCTGGGAGAGAGAGAGACTAACAAAACAAATGTACAAGACTTCTTCCTCTTGGTTCCCGCCAAGTTTCCTCGAGTCTGGAAGAGGGAACCTAGACAAATAATCTTTCTTGCTGAGTTTCCACATGAGATCCAACAGACTGGCTAAGATTTCTCAGGAACTGCTTCTCTCCCTGTTCCCATTCAGGTTTCCTGGAGCCCAGGAGAGGGTGGTTATTTGAGGCTTTATCACTCACAAAACCTTACAGAAGAAATCCTTGATTTCCAAAACCAGCTACTGTTATGGGACTTTGTTTATTATGCTGCAAACGAATGCACTGTAAGTCAGGGGGCACTCAGTCATAAGCCACAGTCCAGGCTCTGCCTCTGAGACAACACATCAGGTAGCTGGCAGGCAGGCTTGGGCTGGGGTTTCCCACCCACAGGCAAAAGGGAGCCCTCTATTAGGTGCCAACATTGTTACCACACTGAAAGGGTCTTTTACCCGTGAGCATCAAAGTCCAAGTTGCCAATAGGAGTTAGCAGGAAAGAAAGTAGAGGTTTATTAGCTGAGAAAATGGCGCCACGCTGGGAGTCACAGGTAAGCTAATGCTCAAAGACCTGGGTTTGGGTTCTAGGAAAAAATTAATAATCATAGTGGCTAAAGGAGTTGGGGTTGGGGCTCTATTGATTGATTAGGGCCAGTGTAAGGAGGTCAGCCATGTCATTGTTCTGCCTGGCAACATGAGGGTATGGTCTACAGGTCATCTGCTTTCATGGGCCTGAGTGTGACACACAACTGAAGTCAAGATTCTGTCTCTTGTTTGATCACAAACGTTGCGGTCAACACACCTGGGGCTTCATTCTTAAGACAGTTTTGATGCTTACCAGAATCTAATGTTCTAAGACAGTGGTTCTCAACCTTTCTAATGTTGCAACCTTTTGATAGAGATCCTTATGTTGTGGTGACCCCCCAACCATAAAACTATTTTTGTTGCTACTTCATAACTGTAATTTTGCTACTGTTATGAGTCGTAATGTAAATCTCTGTGTTTTCCAATGGTCTTAGGCGACCCTGCCAGCGTTTCTCAACCTGTGGGTCAGGTTAAGATTTGTTCCCACAGGCTGAGAGCCACTGCTGTAGAGCATAAGACCTAGAAAAAAGATCTACTTCTAAGATCTCCTTATTAAATTTATTGGGGGTGGCATTGGTCAACATAAACATATACTAGTAGGTTTTAGGTGTGGGTTTCTATGTTACAAGATCTAATCTTTTTTTTCTTAGCCAGTTTTATAGCATTCTTCCAGCAATCTACTCCCTGAGCCACCTGTCTTCCTTCCTCTGAGCCCGGTGTTTATGCTGTCCATTTCTTTTAGTGCCACAAGGACTTCTTCTTTTGGCTTATCCTCAGCCAGCAGAAGCAAAGATTCAGACCAAGTCATGTGAGCTATATTCACATGACCAGAGCTACATGGCTGTCATATGTGGTTAGCAGTCCTCTCCACTAACTCTCCTTATCCCCATGCCTACCCCCTAATTCCATTTCCTCTGGAATCCACATGTGACAGGAGACTTGCAGTGGGTTGTTTGAAAGTGTTCTCTCTAGAATGTTTTTAGCTCATTCTAAACCCATTTCCTAGAGCATATCTATATTTTTTGCTTTGCTTATCTTATTAAAACACATGGCAATTAAATTTTTGCACAATTTCCTTTCCAGTCACCCCATGTTCAAACTTCAAGTTTACGTTAAAAGAAGATTCAGTGAAGTTGCGATTTTAATGTGATTTATACTTCAGCAAAGTGGACCAGTCACTTTAAATGCGAGCCTCAGATGTGCACTAGATCACTCCCTGACCTTGTCACCATCTCCTGGAATAAGGTCAGTGGGTGTTTGTCTTCAGATCTGTACTTGGTTAGCAAAATAATTGAGGAAGTGAGAATTAATTATTAGAGGCCACCCCAGCTTCACCTTTTCTCTGGCCCTGATTATAATGTATGAGACTTCTCCAGTCTCTTGAAAACCAGGTTTTGTAACTTTACCGAAAGCTTTCTTTTGGAAGACACGAATTCCTATTTGGGTAGGACTTTTATCTTAGGAAAGGGATTTCCTATCCACCATTCTCCACAGAGCATGCTGGACATGTTTGTTTCTCAGACCACAGCATTCAGTAAAGGTGTTATGACAGAGTAAGTCCTTAAGATGAGATGAACTCAACTTGACCTTTGGTGTTCTCTGACTTGGGCTTGAAATAGACAATGGAGACACAGCCATATGAGGTGTGAGGTGCAGGTGCCAAAGGACTTCTTCCAGCTTTTCCACAGAGGCAATCTTGAGAATGGCGGAAATAATGAGGATATAAGAGATAAAGAGGAAGGTGGCAGGAACTGTGATGGGCACGAGGCTGATACTTAAGGTCAGAATATCACTGGTGATTGGAATAGCACAGGCCAGATCCAGCACAGGTCAAACACCACAGAAGAAATGCTCAATCCATGTGTTGCAAAAGGGTAGACTGAAAATAACCACAGCTGGAACCAGTGAGAGCAAGAATCCTGTGGCACAGGCTGAGGATGTCTTCATGGCACAGACCCTCCATTTCACCATGATGACTAATGAAGTGGGCTGCAGACGACCACCTAGCGGTCATGCTCCATGACCTCTAGCAGAAAGCAGTTAGTGATAGCAAAACCAAGGAAGAAGAGTTGAGCCCCACAGCCCTCCCAGAGGATGGATTGGCTCAGGCCTATGAGACTGGCAAGCATGAGGGAGATAATGACCAAGGAGTAGAGTTTCTGACATGGAGAAGACACTTGGAGAGAATTACATGGGGATGTGGAGGTGAAGCTCAGTACAGGTAACAGTCACCATAGTTAACATTGCCAGCCAGAGTTAAGATAGACAAGGCAAGAAACACCACAAAGAGTATGAGTTGCTGTTCTCAGAAGTTGGAGAGACCTTGAAAATCAAACTCTCTTACTTCTGCATGGTTGACTTTCTTCATTGAGGATCTCAAGGCTGAAAGATAAAGAGAAGGTCAATACCTTCTCTTGTACCTGAGACTGGTACAAGATCTATGGTGAATACTGTCCAGAGGAAGGATTCAATATCACAAAGACCCAGTTCAAAACTTCATGAATCTAGGGATTTGGAAGACTAGGTCGTGGAACTTAAGGAAAGTACAGAAAGTTTGAGCAATATGATTTAAAAGTTTGAGGTAAACCATTCTTTTCAAGTATACCAGGGTCATGAAAAGAAAAATGGCCATCTCTGTATGGTTTATGAAGTTGTTCTCAACCATTTCTTAGAACCGTATTTTTTTAAAATATAGACCACATTCTGAGGCCACAGTGTGACTAAGTCAGAAATTGTCGCCAAAAATGATAACTTGAAAAATTGCAAATGTTTGATAATCTAATTGATAGTTCAAAGAGGAACTTATAATGGATATTATGAAATGTTTAGAACTAAACAGTAATAAAAGATTCACAGCAATAAAAAGTACATGATGTATTTAGAACATTATTAGAAGGAAGTTTATAATTTAAAGTGCTTGTTCATTATTTTAAAAAGAGGCTAAAAAGTTGTAAGTTGAGCATCCATCCTAGAAGTTATCAAATCAAGATAGAAAAGAAAGTAGAGGGAAAGAAAAATAATGAATAATAATGAAACATATGATAATGATATATAAAAGAGAGGTTAAAGATAGAGAAGATCCACAAATGTAAAAGTTTATAAACTTTAGGTAAACTGTTAGTGATACTGACCAAGAAAAGCAAGTGAAAACATAAATAAACTCTTATTATACTAGTAAATTAATGAAGGAACATAATTTCAGATACAAAATATTATGAACAACTTTATCTGAATACATTTTTAAAACCTCAATACATTTTTAAACTTCTATGAAATGCATACATTTCTATTTAAAAAATCACTTACCCACCCTGGCTGTTGTTGCTAAGTGGTTAGAGCATAATAAGCTGAAGGATTTGCTTACTGGTCAAGTATCTGGGTTGCTGACTCCTGTAATAGATTAAAGGGATTACTTACATTTCTGAAAGAAAAAAAAAAAACATAGAAAAATTTGAAATCATACTGCTGAGTAATAGAAAGAAATCACACACATAGACAAACACACACACACACATGAGTATGTATGTATCCTATTTATATACTATTCAAAAGAAGGCAATATTAAATAATACATTGTTTAGGGGTAATCTGATTTTTAAAAAACATGCACATGCTTTAACCTAAAATTGATGATAGTGACTATTTGTCATATATTTGAAATATTTGAAAAGAGGATATATGAGGTTTCTAAATTTATGCTGCTAGACTATTTCTTACCTGGGCATGAGATATTTTTGTTATTTTTCTTAAAATGTACATTTATTTTATACACTCTTCTTAAAGTATAACATTTTGCAAGAAAAATTTTAATATTACACATAAAAAAAGTGTTCCTGATAGTGTTCATTGGAAGAAACATTACAAAACATTCTAGTGTTTGCAGGCCACACAGTCTCTGTTGCAACTAATCAACTCTACTGAGAGAGTGCAAAAGCAGCCATACGCAGTATACAAACATATACCCCATAAACAAATGGGTAATCAATAAAGATTTGTTTATAAAAACAGGTAGTTGGCCTATGGATGTAGTTTGCCTACCCTGCTTTATAATTAATTCATGTAATGCTCTAAAACACTTCATCATGAGCACTGACTTCAACTTAAATATTCTCTCTGCTTTTGAAGAACATTTGGTTTATTTCAGTTTTATTTTTTTAAATTATAAACAAAGCTGTTTAAAACCTCTGGCATGTGTCTCTTTCGTTTTTTTCTGGATTACATATTTAATGAAAAAAATTGCTGGTTTATAAAGCATGCTCACTTTCACCTTTAGCAGGAAATGTCAAAGTGTTTTCCAAAATGACTGTATCAATATATTCTTTCTCCAGTGAGAAACTGGAGTTTCCATTGCACTGTATCTAAGATACCCTGGATTTTTTGCAGTTTGGTGGGTATGGTCTTAACTTGTGTCTACGGTCTTATTTTATCCCTGGCTACTGACAACGTTAAAAATCTGTTCACAATCTGTTTGTGCTTCCTGTCATCTGAAGTTCTTATTCATTTAATTTCAGGCTAATGAAGCATATGAAACACTCAAGCAAAGGAAAGAGAAAATCTGGCATACAGGTAGGCGGGAAAGAATAAAGTCAATAAATTTCATTAAGTTGCAGAAATTGAGGGACTGCCAGAGGAAGAAGGACAGACATGAACAACAAAGGAAGACATGATGAATGAAATAAACATTGCCAAACCATTATCTGTAAGAAGGGACATAGATAATTAATATGGTTTTCTAATCCTTAATCTGACTTTTTGGTGGAGAGCTCTTCTCTCTAAAAAGATGGCAGAAATTCTATGTATTTCTTGCATTTCATAGTTTCATTCTTTAAAGTATTAATACATCTATCACTAAAAAATATGTTCTAGACGTGTGATGAAACTTAACTCTAAAAAGGACAAAGGAGTCGCCTAGTATCACACATTATGTTCATGGCAGAGCTAACTCAGGAATCCACCCTTTTTACTTTGGCCTTGCCCTTGAAATACTCAATATGGGTTGGAAATATTCTTTCTGTCTCAACTGAGATACTGATGCAGGTAACCCTGGTACACAGAAGTCAGTATGCCTTCGTTAGGAAGATATTTTAAAAATGCTAAGTGGATATCATATAAATGTACATACAGTAGTGCATGATTTTGCATGATATAGTTATGAGTAAATTTCCACTATCTCCTGAATTTTTCAGAATGTCTATGATAAATGTGCGTTCATTATCTGAATTGCTGGTGCATCAAAACTTTAAAAAAAAAAAAAAAAAAAAAAAAAGGAGAAGAACAGAGATGGGACTCTCTCCAAGAGGCTTAGAAGGGAGAAACTGAAAACCTCAAGCTAGCAGTTGAGCATATCCAGAGTGCCAGGAGGAAGCTCAGGGCATGGTGACCAGCCTGAGGTTCAGATCATTGACTATTCTGGTCTGAGAAGGTCTTCCTTCAGAGCTGAAACCTCTTGAAACCACCAATCCAGGAACTTTGTCTGTTTATTTCTGAAAGAGCACAGGACCCATTTGATCCAGAACTCTAGGGACTTCTTGAGAATTGTTCCAGGGTACAACAAGCATCAGGAAAATCGCTGGAGGCTATATTCCCAGGGCCTGATTTGGATCTTAGTATTGAGTAGAACAAAACTTTGCCTTTGGTTACCCAACTCATAAGAGCAGCTTGCATGGTAGAAACGAAAATGGTGATTGCTCTCACAGGGTTTATCAAGGAAGGAGCATACAGAGCTAGAGCGAATCCATTGGGTATATTTGTGCAAATTAGAAAAAGGAACCTCCACTAAGTAGATGCAGGCCATGTGCATACCATTGGGTGAGTAGACAACATATTTTTTTGGCAGTTAGCAAAAGGGCCTCTCTTCATATGGATAAATAGAACTCCATACCACACTGTATGACCTGTCAGTGGTCTGTGAGCTAGGTTTCACCATTAGTCTTCTTAATTAGGTACCCTTGTGCATTGCACAGCCAACACACCACATCATTTTCAAACAAATTATTTCATAAATAAATATATTATTACAAACAAAAACAAATACCACAAGGATACAACTCTTGTGTGTGCAGATAATAAAAGGGGGTAAGTTTTGCTAGTCTGATAAATCCAAATGTTTTTCTGAGGAATGATGTTTGAGCTTGGATTTTTGTCATAAATATGAGTCAACTAAGAGAATTTGAGGAAGAGAATTTAAGGCAGAGAGAAAAAAACAAACAAACAACGAATGAAGGACTTGATACATTAATGACAATAACTTAACCAAGAACTAAAAGAAAGCCAAATTGCACATGGAGAAACCAATTAAGAGATGACACTAGAAGACAATAGAGGATGAGATTGGGCACAATCAGGTGTGCTTTTCATATGTTGTATTGAAACGTGGAAAGTGAATTGGAGAAGAGCGAGTTTGGAAGCAGAAAGGCCGATTAAAAGCTGCTGCAGCACTCAAGTGGGAACCCCACAGGAGCTGGAGCTAGGGTGGTGGACACGGAGATGACTGTCTCTCTGGTCCCTGTCAGACCAATTCACAATAGGCATCTAAGACACATGGCCAAGTGACCTGCTTTTATCATGACTCAGAAGTAATTTAGGTGCCATTGCTCAAAGTTTTGGTTTTGTTCTTTTACTGAGATCTGAGGATTCTGCACTGTGGTTCTCTGTGGGGTCATGACAGAGTTCTGACTTGATTCACCATGATAGAGAATCATCGCTGCCCCCAACAGTTCTCTGACGGGAGCCCTCAAACAAAGGGGTAGTCGTGTATCTGTGAGGACAGACCCATTGACATGGCCACATATACACATTATAATTCTCAATCTCCATTAAAAATGGACTCTCATTGAGTACATTGAATCCATGTTACTTACTATGGAGAGGATGAATGTCAGATCAGAGGTGGTGTCCATCAGA